CCATATATTTACCATTCTCCTTTATGGGATGGCTTTGGTACATTTCATATGTGGCTAAAATGTTTATCTCACTAAAACCACACTAAATAGGAATGAAAGCCACACTTCATTCTTGCATGAAAGCTTCTTGTGGCCCACCTGTGGTAAGCATATATTTACCATTATCCTTAATGGGATGGTGTTGGTGCGTTCCATGTGAGGGTATAATTTTTATCCCATTAAAGCCACACTAAATTAGAACCAAAGTCGCATTATTTTCCAACAAGAAACTTATAACAAATACATAAACAAATCTTCTGACTTTAAATATGATATTTAAACAAATCTACTGAATTGTTTAAATACCATATTTAAACAAGTCAGTAGATTTGTGTATGTATAGGATATACCAATAATTATACATATATACCTATACAAATAAGTATCATACTGTATGCACACTAATTTGTATAGGAATATTAGTTAAAAAACTTAGATGGAAAAACATACTTTTTGCTTTTATTTATGTGTTTTTTTCACAAAAAACTATATTCGTACAACAACTTTTTATTTTACATTCATTAAATTTAAAACTCTGTATTATCTCTGTACACAAAACTAATTGATGAATCATGCAATGAAGACATAATATTTTCTTTAAATTCTTTATCTAGCATTCTTACAATGTCTTCCAACAGTAGCTAAAGATAGTTTCATATGAAATTCCATGTACAAACAAAATCAAGAGAAATAAATCAATATTAACAAAAGCTTGCTTACATTGTCCGCTAGTTTAAAATCTAACGCTATTTTTTTTCGTAGCAAACACAATGTATTAAGATATTTTTATCTTCATTGAGTATAACTTTGATTACAATTTTTTTTCGTTACGTATAACTTTGTTTAGAATAAGTATAACTCATTAAGTGTAACAACAAATTTTTATTCGCTAAGTGTAACTCTAATTTAAAAATATTATTGAAAGTTTATTTTGAATAACAATTCTCATATATATTCATTACAAAACCACTCAAACATATTTACAACTATGACAATTATCAAAACTGTAAACTGCATGATATCATGGAATATTCTAGAGTTTACTTCAATGTGTTGCAATGGAATCGTAGCTTACAATAGGTTAAAATTTAAAATTCAAAATGAGGCAAGATTGTATGTTTTTTATATATGGCCCATATAATAGCCACATCTAATTTAGCACTTATCTATTTAAGGTTTATAATACACTAAGTGGAATAATTTTGTGGGTGCATTATGTTTTCCGCATGTGGGCCACACTGATCATCAGCATATCAATCATCAACTGAAATATAGTTTCACATTTTTATTCCACTTGTAAGCACTATGGCCACATGTAGGCCACAAATACCTTTTTGTCAGGATTAGATTTATCAGATATGTTTTTCTTATCTTGAAATTTATTTATGCATGTATTTTTTGTTTTGATTGTGCTTTCAATTATTCTATGTTATACTCCTTTCCAGTTTTAACTCTTTCTCTGTAATCTGAATAGATAACTTTGGTAGAATAAATCAAGTTATTTTTAAAAATAATATTTGATTTGCTTTTATAAAAGTATTTTTTTTTTAAATGAATAAACTTTGTTTAAATTATCTTTATTATAGTTAATACTTTATAAAAATATAAAAGTATAATGTACCTATCGATAACTTTACCACTGCCAACACCCTTTAAACCATTCTTGTCTCCTTTCAAAACCTTTAAGAAGTTTGCTGGTGTAACATCCTAAATAAAAATTATTTAACTTTATTTCGAATACACAAATTTTTATATTTTTTAATGATTAAAAAAAAAAGTAAAACAGTGCAAAAAAATGATAATACTTCTCCAATGTAATCTTTTGGAACACCTTTATAAACATCTCCGCCACCTGGCTACAAAATATAAATTTATTTAATTTTTATTGAATAATTTTATTTGGAGATAAAAGAATAACTTATATATTTTTATGTAATTGCATAATTAAATATTTACAAAATAAGTTATTTAATTATATAAAATACCTTGTTGATAATGACGCCTGGAGTTGGATTACTATAATAAAAAATAAAACATTCTTGAACCTTTTTTGTTTACTTTTTTTTTTTTCAGTCGAATATCTGCATAAAATAAATAACATTAAATAAAAAAGATAAAACTTGCAATTCTTACTAACAAATAGATTAACTGAATGAAGTTTGTATACTAAATATATGCAATATATTTTTAAATAATACAAAAAAACTTCTCAAGAAACAGGTATAATAATATCTAATTGGTTTTTTAAAAGTTATAAAAATAGTTTATCCTTGTAAAAACTATTCATCCATAACTGTAAATAAGAAGTTAGTTGTAAATGCATTGTTGTGCTATTGACTATTTATTCGAGCCATTATTTTGGGCTGCAAGATGGTTTACAAAATGCATTAAATTTGAAGATTTGAATGTAAATGTTTTCAATTTTTAGTATGGTAAAAGATTTTTACATTTGAATGTAAATGTTTTCAATTTTTAGAATGGTAAAAGATTTTTACTATGTAAAAGATTATACTTTTACTCAATGTTTTTATTATATTTTACTTTTAATGAAACTAAATGAAAAGTTTATTATTTATGCTATACTCTTCATCCAGAATGTCAGCAAAACAAAAAAGTAATTAGGATAAGATAAAAAATCAAAATACAAAGTCTAATGAAAATTTGAGAATAAGAATGTTATAAACTATCAGACATATTCGGAATTCAAAGTTGGGTATTCAATCTCTTGTTGACCGTATTGTTCGAGGTGAACTTATACAGTGTTTCAAATTAATAATTGGCTTTGATACTGTAAATTGGTGTAACATAAATTTGCTCTCTTATCCAAGAAATTTTAATCAAAGTTGAACGCGAGGTCATAACTTTAAGCTAGTTAGAGAGTTAATTAAAAACAATGAACAGCGTCATCAGTTTTTTACAAATCGTGTGGTAAACACTTGGAATAAATTGCCTAAAAACATAGTCTGTGCTACAACTGTAAATAGTTTCAAAGCAAGATTGGATAAAGTTTTCAAACCGGAAAACCTTGAAGACGATTAATGATGAAATTGGCTTTATTCCCATTTAATTAACTTATTTTAAAATAATTTGTAACTTTTTATGTAGGCCGCCAAAACCAGAATTGGTTACACAAGCTATAGCTTGTTGCGGTACAATAAATAATAATAATAATAATAATAATAATAATAATTAAATTGCAAATAACTTTTTATTAATTTAATAAATACTTTGCATAAGCTAATATTTATTCAAATTTTGTACATTTTTTGTGTTATTATAAATTATGCAATATTATTGTATTATTTCTAATTATTTTTCTTTGTTTTCTTTGTTTATAACAAATTTATTCTATATATTTCTATATATTTATAGATATTATTTATATTTATATATCTTATATATAGAACAATTAAAAGATCTTATAAAGCTTTTGAAGACCCTATAAAACATTTAGAAAACATTTTAAAAAATCTTTATAAAACTAAAAGAATAACAATATCAAATCAAACTATACAAGTAAACTGTTCAACAACAAAATAAAAAATTATCAAAACTAAAACAAAAACAAATCAAACTAATTAGTTGAGGGTAAGAACTAAAGATCTTATTATTTTGTTTTTTATTTTTATTTAAATTGCTATAAAAACCTTAAAGGCTTTGTTCAAGGTAACATTCGAACATTAGCTGTTCATCTTGGTTATGCTGCTAATGTTATCTACAATGTCATGCTCTGGCAGGGGCTAGTGGTTCTATGACGACTTGTACAAGACTTTTTACTAAAGAATTACAATGTTGAGATAAAGAGGGAGGGGTCAAAAAAAAATTGGTGATGTAAATTATGGACAACCCCTAGGTCACAAACAACAACAAAAATAAGTATATTAAATTTTTTCTATTCTGACTTGCGTAAGAATAGAAAAAAGTTATTTGCGGTGTACCACAGGGATTACTACTTGACCCATTACTGTTTATATTCTTTAGTAATGACCTGCTGAACAATATTGCTATTATTTTTTATTTTATAAAACTGTATACAGATAACAGCAAAATTATTGCAATAATTAAATTAGATGATGACAACAAATCTCTTTAAGTTGCATTAAACAATGCAGTCGATAATACAAATGGTATGGTAATACAAATGGCTTATGGTATTTTTTAATATTGAAAAGTACAAAGTAATACATGTTAAACAAACAGGTTCATGCATGAATACAGGATGACAAATACTGATGGTATTAAACATATATAATATATAACTAAAGTGGAGCGTGATTCAGGAGTTCTTATTTCAAATAACCTCAATGTCAGATCACAGGTAGAAGCAGTAACCTTAACTGAAAACAGTGCGCTAGAGTGCTTGTAAAAGATATTCTAAAGTCATTTGATGCACGCTTTACACCACATGCATCAGACCTCATCTAGAATTCACTATTCCGCCATATTTAAAGATTAACATCGCTATCCTTAAAAGAGCACAGTGCCACGCAAAAAAAAAATATATATACATGAGAGCTAAAAAAACTGAAATATACTCCTTATCTTACAAACACAGAAAATGTGACAATCTAATTGAACATTATAAAATCACACACAAGTTTGAAGAGTAGAACTCTTCGTGCCACAAAAACAAATAACATTGTTAGAATCAGGTAACTTTTTTCATAACTGTAAACTTCAGTCAAAATTATTAAAGCACTGAACACTGTGTGTGAAAAGTGGGAGAGAACTTCTTTACAAACTGTGTCACAAAATGTTGGAACAAGCTTACACAGAGAGCAGTTAGTGAGATAACGCATTTAAACATCATCTACCGTAAATCACTTTCTGCGCTGCAGCAGATCTCACCAGAATAGAAGAGCATTTAACCCCTCTTCCTAGTAAAATTTTATTATCTCATTTTATTAATTAAAAAACTAGCGCAACTCTTTAGTCACATTTATATTTATCTACTTTACTTTAATAATTTTTATTTAATATTAATTAATGACCGAGTAAATCAAATCAAATTCAAACTCATTAAAATCCAAAGATTACGTAAAAAACATCAGTATGATTTCTAACTGATTATACTTGCAAATATTAGGGATTACTGAAGCTGAAGAAAATCCACCATGTCAAGAAAATTTCCATATATACATAATTAACAACAACCTTTATTTTAACTTTATTATAAATATATATATATATATATTTTGCTATTGTTCCGAATGTTTTTGTTCATGTTTATATTATAACATAAGTTATAATATAAACATAACTATAAATCAAAAGCAGAGTATGACTTCTTTAAAATATTTTATAAAATAAATAAATAATTTATAAAAAAAAGAACTATAAAATAGAGTAAATAAAAATAAGTATTTAGCATAAAAAACAAGTCTATTTTAATAATACACACACAGATATATATATATATATATACATATATATATATATATATATATATATATATATATATATATATATATATATATATATATATATATATATATATATATATATATATATATATATATATATATATATATATATATATATATTAGTAAAAATGTATTTTTAAAAACTCACGCTTCATTATTTGCAATGTCATCATACATCATTACAACTATATTTTCATCAGGAATACCATGTTTGTGTAAGATTTGATATGCATGGCAAACATCAGCCTAAAAATAAGAAATAGAAGGATTTTTATGTTTGTGAATTAAAAGTTGTTAAGATGACTATTTTATTGAGGAAAATAATTTAAAAATATAGATCCTAATATTTTTCTAAAAATAAGGTTGATAAAAATTATTTCAAAACAGAAAACACTGAAGTAAAAAAAACTTGTCATTTATCTACATTCAAAATTAAATTGTTTTAAAGACCTTTTAAGGGATAAAACAAGGCACAAAAAGAATTAAAACAGCAGGTGGAAGTACTAGAGGTTTACATGCCCATCAAAAGAGTCAACATAAAATTAATATGTTAAAAAGAAATATAGAAAAATATGCAAAAGAACTGGCAATTGCAATATTATTGAAAATACTCCTTTATCAAAAAAAAGAGACAAATATCATTCATGGAAATGACAGTTATTTTTGGAATCTTGAATTGACTCGGATTCATGGATCCGCACCTGCTGAGGTATGCACAGAACTAATTGAAATGAAGCTTAAAGAGTTTAATATAGTTTTGTCTAATATTGTGTGCATAACATTGGATGGAGCTGCCGTTAACGAGAGAACAGTAAAGTTACTTAATAAAAACCATCAGTTATGTATCATACATGCTCGTTGTAGTTGAGGCGATTTATAAATTATTTGAATTCTTTTATTTGCAATTAGCTTGATTTTATCAGCGTATTATGTCTAAACAAGAGCTTTAGATGGTATAATTTTTTTTGCTTCAGGTTTTTTTAATATTTAAAGGAACTTTTTTTTTTTTTTTTTATATATAATTTTCAAAATCTTTTTACTTCCTGTAATAGTAAATCTAAAGAACACTATTTTGGAGTCTTTAGATCAATTCCGCTCATCGGTGTTAACATAAATTTAGTTAAAATCTTTTGAAAAAGTGCCTTAATTTACTATTAATCCTAGTTCTAATCGGTTTAGACATATATTAACTATATATAGTTGTCAAAACAAAATATTTCTATCAATTTTCACAAAAAATACTAGAACTCCAACCAGGAAAGAGCTTATAATTAAGAACAATTAACAATAAACAATTAGAACAGATCATATTGGTAAAATATGTTCTTTTTACCTAAAAAACATATTTATTTAGAATCTTATTAAAATTTGGACAAGCGATTGTGGTTTAAGGATAATTATTTTGAAAAAAAAAAAAAAAAAATCTTCGGTCTGGGCTTTTCGCTATAAACAATTATATTTTATATCGCAAAATTTATCATTTTAATTTTTTTGTCTTTTTATAATTCACAGACCTGATCATTTAACGGAAATAAGTTGTAGTCAACAAAATATCATACAGAAACTATAATATTTTAAAATTGCCTTAACTACACCAAGTGGCCTACATTTGGCAATCATAAAAGTACTTTATAATATTAGTTCAACAGATGTATAAGATGTTAATAAATATGATGGTAATGTATTACTTAATGTTGATTCTGATTCTGATTATTCCATATTATTAAACACAATATGGTGTTTTAATAAACAATAGATAACTCACTTAAGCAGCTAACACTCTATTAATTATTACTGATTACTAATACTAATTGTTGTAAAAATAAGTAAATGCAGCTTTACAATGATGGGACATAAACTCAAGATTGACAGTTAGAGCAGTTCTGAATTCCTTTACATTACAAATTTGGGACCTTTCTAAAAGAGTAATAAAATCATCATATGAACCAGCCATTACATGACAACAGTACTTCATACAAAAGGAAATGAGATTTATAGAGATGGAAAATGTAAGAATGTATAATGGAATCAATAACAAAAAATAGCAAACACAATAGAGGTAACCTTAGTAGATGCTAAAACTGTAATAAATTAAATGTATGACTTTTATGTAGATTTTCCATGGTTTTTAACACCAGTATCAAATTAAATTTTCCAATACCAAAATCGTATCATTGGTAATAATAATGGTAATCGTCATCATCACTGGTTTTTTACAGTTTGCAGAATTTTAATAATTTAAACTAAATAAAGATATAAATCTCCAATCATTAATAAAAAATTGAAGCTAAAACTTGAAATTAAAACGGGGTGATACTAATTGGTTCTCATAATTGAAAGGTTGGTAAAAATGAAACCATGCATTCAAAAGATAATTTGGAAAATAAGAACAAATAGAATTTATGAAGAATATTTAAAACTTTTAGAAGATTATCTAAAAATGTTAAAACATATTTAAATAAATGTTAAGGAGCTTAGTAGCGATAATTCCATAATTTTAACCAGTGAAGATTGTTTACATGTTTTTAAAAATATATATATTTATGAGCAAACACCAAATTTAAATGTAGTGTTGCAAGATTTACTCAAAAAGTGATATGATGAGCAACAAAATAAAGATTTTGTGTGACTAATGATTTGCAAACCATCAATTCAAATATGCCACAAAATGGTATATATATATATATATATATATATATATATATATATATATATATATATATATATATATATATATATATATATATATATATATATTATGTTAGCGTATTCTACAAATAGAGTGCTAAATGTTCTTAAAGAACAGAGCAATATTAATTTAGTAAAAACACTTATCTAACTTTTGTGTTCTTCAACAGCATGTTTCACCATCAGTAGGTTCATCAGGAAGCTTCCTGATGAACCTACTGATGGTGAAACATGCTGTTGAAGAGCACAAAAGTTAGAAAAGTGGTTTTACTAAATTATATATATATATATATATATATATATATATATATATATACATATACATATACAAAACATATATAATATATATATATATATATATATATATATATATATATATATATATATATATATATATATATATATATATATATATATATATATATATATATATATATATATATATATATATATATATATATACGTACATATATATTTATATAAGCATGTAGTGGTAAAACACTTGCTTCATAAAGCGAGAGGTTCCGAGTTCGATCCCCACCACGTCCTTGGTAGTACCGCGCTCAACTTGTTTCTCTGCGCAGTGGCCTTGTTCGTCAAGGTTCGTGTTTCGGAGTTATAGAATTGAGAGAGGGTTATAACTACTATTAAGTAGCCTCCTTGTCTGTAGTGGCCTTCTTGGCCTTAAGGAGTTGAATAACAAAAAAAAAAAAAAAAAAAAGCATTTACTCACTTTTTTTTCTTTTTTTAATCTTACAACTTATTTAAAAAAAGAAAAAAAGAAAGAATAATGAATGAAAAGATTGCTGCCCCATTCCAAATCCTCAGTCAATGTAGCAACATTTTGCTGTGAATGAGGTTATTTGTCAGTCAATGTATGTACTAAAGCTCCTGGCAGCAGGCTATTTAAGTATAATGTCAGGCTGCTCACCTAAATCAGTAGTATAAGATATATTTATAGATTATAAAAGGTAACAAGATCAGAGATACAGTAAGATCAATTTTAGCAGCACTTAACTCTTCTATACTAATGTGTAAAAATAAAGTTTAACAATTTTTACATAACAGAGAAACTTACTAAATAAGGGACTATTATAAAACATTTCCTAAGTTACAACTAACTTTCAACCATTAGTAATATGATTTTCAAATTATGTGATCAAGACTACAATTCTTACTTTTGCCTTAAGTTTATGAAAAACTTTGTTAAAGCTGGGGTTTCTTAGTTTTGAATTAATAGATCAATATTAGGTTGTTTCTTTTTATGTTAATTAAATTTAAAGAGATTTTAAACTTGATAACTTCACTTTATACAACTTTTTTTTTTCAGAAAAAGGTGTTTAACCTTGTACAATAATAAAGTTACTGCTAAAAGAAAAAATAATTTTAAATTCCAGAGTATTTATTAATTACAATTAAAAAAATCTGAATGTATACAAAAAAAGTGACCTTAAATGAGGCTTTCTTTACCCTCCATTACCCTATAAATTTTAAAGTAAAATAGATTCAACTAAAATCTTTTTAAACCATTAAAAATGTTTTTTATATGTTTAAAAAATTTTTTTAGTTTAAAACATTTTTTAAGTTAAGTTCTATTTGCTTTAAAATCAATATACTGCTTTGATTTGTAAAACATACATAGTATATATTTCTTATATAAAAAAACTAATGTTAGTTTTAAAGTAAAAAAATCTTCTAAAACATATGTTAACAAATATGGAAAGCACAATGTAAAACACCTTAGGTAAATAAAACAACTATGTATAAGTCCTATTACAATATCTATATAAGTCCTATTACAATATCTTTTGAATAAAATTGTGTACATAAGATATTGCAAAATTTACTAA